TCTGAGCAACTAACAACAATTAAATTTGCATGCTACCCCAGTGGAAAGTTGCAGCCCAGCTTCTAAATGTATACATAGAACAAGAAATTTCTTTAAGGCACAGAAATATGAAAGTTGGAGGAGATATCTGCCGCCTAAATTTCCTAAGCATAGTGTTTCCATGGCAATGCAGGATTCATCCAAATGTAATTAAAAGTGACTAAGGTATCTATATTGTTCAGTGCTAGTAATTTTACCTTTAATTATATTTTTCTAAGCCACGGATGGGCTAATATGCCAGACAATATTTGTTCAGGACTGAGACTGACAAGAAGAAGAGAGAACATCACCACTTTATAGGAACATTAGGAACTCTGCAGATAGAATAAAATAGGAATAAAATAAAATTTGCTACTCTTTGGAATTCCTTTGAATAACAAGAAGATGAGCTATTGCATATTCTCCAATGATGATGGCATTTCCCCAAAGAGGTCTCCTGTCATGATTTATCCTTGAAGAAAGAACTCTCTCTTAGTCCCTTCCAAGAAGCTTCTGCCTGGTTCTCAAGTTGAGATCCAGTTTCCGGGCCATTACTGCCTGCTTTTCGCCACTCCAGCTCTCACACATAAGGCCCATGGGTGGCTTTGAGAGGTTGCAGCTCAGGAATCTTGACAGACAGTATGGCAAACAGTCAAAATTGTAAACAATTGTCTCTATGTGAAACTAATCCTGAGCAACTGGTTTTGTTGTATATGATATTTGTGAGAGATGATCAGTAAGAATAAAATTATGTAAGTACTACTAGTGTGTCTAAATAGGAGGTTTATTTTTCCTGCATTTTGGGGGTGTTGAATATATTTAGTATTTAAAATTTTTTTTTATTACATGTTTGCATACGTAATCATTATTTTTCCTGCATTTTTGTTTCATTTCGTTTAAGTTACTGACACCAGCTACTCAGTTCTCTTCCCAGAGTCTTTGTTGCAGGAAAACCACCAAGAGTAATCACAAGGCTAAAAATCATCCTTAAGTGGAAATAATGTTAATATCGCAAGTAGCAATTTTTTTGTGTTTAAGATGTGGAGAATGTAGCCATATGGGGCTGTAGAAGGGTTCTAGTAGCAACAGGGAAGGGGTGAACAGGAGAAAGGTAGGAAAGGAAGCGTAAAAGGAAACGGAATTGGTTTAAGGGGGCATCCTGTGTCTGTTCTAAATATTCATTTATGCTTCTGGGGTAAGGTCTGCAGATACTTAATTTATATTAGTTTTCACCTCAGTACACACCAGTATCCCAGGTTTGTGGGGTCGGCAATAAGGAACACAAAATCAGAAGTCCTGTCCTTTGAGCAGCGAGTACTGTGAGCATGGCTTGTGTTACAAGTAGGGCCCAAACTTCCCTCCTTAACTCTCAGCGGGAAGGAGAAAAGCATTGTCCACAGTGGAAGATTTCCAAATTTCTAGGTTGAGGAAAAACTAACTTTTTCTACCAAGACCCAGCAGATTTTGATGTATTTCCTTAAAGGTAGGACCCAATTTTTCTTCTGAGAGTCTCTATATGTAATAGAAGTTTGCTGGTGGAACTACATTGAACATGGGAAAGACATGCAAGCGGGACAAATATTGGGAGCCACTGTTTCCACTGTTTATTTCTTATCTTTTTAGTCTCCCAGTATCGAGAAGAGCCCCTTTCACTCACCCCGTTTTTATCTTTATGACACTTTGAAGCATCCCAAGCCTATTCCTGTGGGATGCCTCACAATGTGGACTGATTGCACCGTTTCTTTGTGACAAGGGTGCTTCCCTGTGTATCACAGAAGAGCCCCTATTGGATTCTGACCCACTGTGGGCGGTGCTAGCTTTGATCCTGTCATTCAGGGGGTGTGAGCCGGATGTGGCAACTGAAAAGCTACCCCTTTCCCTTAGCAACTAAGACGTATTTTGTGGGAAGAGAAACTGGGAAAAAATAAAAACCAGCACTACAGCAGTTTTTGTAGGTTGTGTCTGCCTGGGACTTTTGCTCTACCTTGGTTACTGGTGTCTGGTACATACGAGTAGGAAAGGAACAAATTTTATGTGTATCTTGCCAGTATGATGATCTGCATCTGCTTTGAGAGAAAAAGGCAAGGCAGGGAGGCAAGACTAGGATGTTTTTGGGGCCAGGGATTATGTGACCATCTCTGTATTGCAGCCCAAGGTTGGATGCAGGAACTAATGAGCAGAGTCCACTTCAAAGAATTAACAGTCGAGAACAGGTGACTTAGAAGTGCGGGTCTGCACCTCACCTCCGACACTTGTTTTGATTTTTGTTAATTTGGATTTTAGGACTCAGAGCCAGTTTCTCGTAAGTAACATGTTTTGCTTATTCACCCTTCTACCTATGTGTGTCTGTCTCTACCCATGTATTTATGTACGCAAGGGAAGATGCTGAGGATGATTTGCATTAAATGGTAACAAGGTCGTTTTGGGGATTTGGAAGTTGGGGTGACTTTTTCCTCTCTTCTTTGTGGTTTCCACAAACAGCTGTTTTAAGGTAAAAACGTAAACCATACCCAAAATATGGGCAATATTAAATTATACGTGTAACATAATGATGTCGATTCTGTAGGTCTTTGAAATGCACTGATCACTAAAACTTCCCCAACCAAGCCAAGCCTCATTCCTTCAGTTTCCTTCCCAAATTCGTACTTCCTAGATAGGTCTCTTCATTTAGCTCAGTCTCTCAGGCAGACTGTCCTCCACCTTCTGTCCTGCCAATACATTCTGGAGGAATCCACAGAAGGCTACATGAAGATAACGTGTTGTACTGTAGAAGACATCATACATCACCACGCCAAAGAGAGCAGCAAATCCCTTAATACTTCATGTGTTTGGTGAATGCCAGAAAACCATTTGGATGATACCAGCAAGTGTAAAACCAGCTTACATTATCTATGTAACAAATGCCACTATGTTATTTACATGGGTACATAGCTATCCTTAACTAAAACAAAAGGTCAACAGCTTTTCTAGGGAGTCTACGGCAGTATCTTTCTGCTTCATGGGGCTCAGAGGCTCTAAATTGGGTGACAGTATTCTTTTGATATTTTCATTTATGGGCCTCTAAACAAAGAATAAATGTGTACTCTGAATTTCAAAATATTGTTTTTCAGCCTCAAATTCTAAATTGAAATCAAGTTTAAAGTTGTATTCTTTGGTCTATTTTATACTATACAGTGCACTTCAAATAAGACTAAGAAGCAAATCAGCAGATTAATTACTAAAATATAGGCATATTTTCCTTTAAGAATTTGAGATTCAACCTACAGTGCCTCTGTCTATTCATTCAAATTATTTTATATTCTAAAACAATGAAGCTTCTGAACCGGTGGAATGTTGCCAGCGGGTTTCAACAGAGTTTCAAGGCAACATAACCAAAAGGCACAGTTGAAATTGGCTTAAGGAATGAATGGACCCCTTATCAGAGCAGCTGAGCTGTATACAATTAACAGCATCTGTCAACATTCACAGGGCCCATATAGAACAAGCAGGCCCTACAGCCCCACATAGCAGCAACTTTCAGCATCTGGCCCTTCAGATCCACATGAGCTGACGACAGGACAGCCTCCAGCCATCACTGGAAGGACACTGAAATATTTTAGTGATGTTGGCAAGATCAGAGAGTAACTGCTAATTAATGCTAATTATCAAGAACAATTCTGTAAACCTTAGCATCAGGCTTCAAATTAATCAGTTATCATAAAACATAAAATACCATTTGTAAAGGTAAGTTTGTATTTATAATGGCTGATTGAAAAATCATTCTTTTTATTTTTTTCTGAAATGGAGCCTTACTATGTACTCCAGACTGCCCTTCAACTTACTATGTAGCCCAAGGTGGACCTGAATTCCAGATCCTTCTGCCTCAGCCTCCTGAGTGATTACAGGTTTTCACCACCATGCTCAGCTTTTACTTTTTAAAAGGTGTGGACATGATTTACTAACCTTTTTTATTTGATGAATTATTAATTTAATTTAGCTGAAATATTATTGTATGAAGAGTACTAAATCCATCACATGATGATTTTGATAAATTTTACTCACAAGAGTACATAAAACAAAATCCAGAGTTTCATTAAATAAATTTATTTGTTAAAATAATTTAACTCCAAATACAACTGTTGAATTTGCATTGAGTTATAACTACAATTCATGTTTTAATTGAAATGTCAAGGTTTAACAACTGACACTGTTATAAAACAATAAACGGTTGTTCAATTTTAAATGGTCAGTTGTATTAGAGCTCAACAACTAACTGTGAACTATAATCTCTGGGAAACCCCAAATCAATAATGATAAGTCTGTTTTCAAAACCTACTGCAGTCATTCTTGAAACCCTGATCAAGATTTAATAGATGCACAATGACAGTTAAAAAAAAAAAAGGAGAAAAAGAAACAGAAAAAGACCCCCATAATCTTTAACATTTGATTGGCTAAAGAGACAATTAAAGCTTAACCAATGCTAACACAGGACTACTGATAGGACCAAAAAACTAAAAAACAAAAAACCCAACAGAGAGAAACAAAATCCTCAGTTCACACAGACACTGACAACATTCATACAGGACAAATCCACCCTTGAAAACAGATACCAGACATCCTTAGGCAACATTTCTTTATATAGAAAAGCAAATATCAGTAGTTTTACCACAGAAAAGTGATGGCAACTGTAGCAGTGAGTCCAAGGTTCAGTCCTAATTCTACAAACCAAAGGACAAAAATCATCAAAGCACCTTTCAACAGTTTAAGGAAAGATTTTATATAATACTTCTGATCAGATGCTGGCTTGTTTTGTGTAAGTTGAGTAAAATGAAAGGCATCGGTTACCATCACTATCACAGCTTAAAGGAACCCCAAAAGTTGCAACATTACGAGAAAAAAATGTAAGAAAAAATGCTGCCTTTGTATAAAAGTAAAAAATAAAACAAAAGAAAAACCTGACCACAATAGCTAAAGAAATAGTGGGTCTTTGGATCAAACTATAATATTTTTAAGGCATGTTAGGAAAACTTTCACTTATCTAGTTGCTAGTCTGATCAGGGCATAACATAAGCAGTGACCCAAGTCACCAACTTTCCTCTCATGTGCCAACAAGTGGAGTCTTCCTGCTCTTGAGCTTTTTATTCCCATCTCGGCAAGCACATTTACTTACGGTGATTTGGATTCCGACCACAGTGGGAGGCAAGAGGGCCTCCCATTCTGGGAAGCACTACACACCTAGGGCATCAGTTCTCAGCAACATCTTCACAGTAAAAGCCCACCTTACTGTCTGACAAACATTTCTAGCCAAAACTCCAAATGTGATAATCTTTTCCACCTCATTTTGCCAGACCTTTCACAGTATGTCACCTATTTTTCGCATCTGCATAGCAATCATGATATAAAACTGTGGAATCTGTATAGCTGTTTCTAATACACAATCTTAGTTGTCATAAATTGGTATTATGGGAATTCTAAAACACAGAGTCATTATTAGAAGTTAAAAGCTTCAAAACTCAACCAATTTACTAACAAATATTTCTACTTCATGTACTTCTTGAATCCTTGATTATTCCAACTGTTTGGGTCAAATCAACTTTTACACGGTGAAATTTGCCTGAAGAAAATTGGTTAAAACTTTTTTGTCCTATAAACAAGGTGCTTTGTAGTTGAAGATTATAAAAAAATTTATACTGAAGAATGTAAATATTCACAATTCAAAGATTCTCTAACATCGTCTAGTTTTACTCACATTATTTCTTCAGTTTTCTCATCTATGAAAAATACTATTGATCCTTCTTCTACCCTTGAGCATGATGCCAGTTACTAAACACTTGGGGGCCACCAATGATTTCTATGATGTAGAAAAGATCCTTAAATAATTTCAAAGAAAAAGTGTTTCTGATACACTATATTCTGCAGTATAGATTCTCAGTATAGGCAATTATCTCTGACTTGTGCCAAATTCTTAGGAACAATAAACACACATGCACACACAGACACACACTCTTCTCTCAGTTACACACATAAGACCAGAGGTTACTTGCACAAGACTGTGGAACCAAGAAAATCTGGGCGCTAAGTATATCACAGGCTCAGTGATATTGCAGTTCTGAAGGCCAAATTTCTCTCCAGAGGTTGGGCTCAAGATCATCTCTTCAGCATTTCTAACTCTGAAGTGAGGTGAAAACCTTTCTACATCTGACTGTAAAACTTCTGAATAGCTTTTTCCTGTGCCATTACTCATGCAAATGATAAATACTTCACGGCTATCAAAACCAAAAATGTCAGAGCTTGAGCACCTTTTCAAAACAAAATATTCACTCCAGCTTTACTTGCCACTTCAGTAATCAGGGCAGAATTGTAAGAAAACCTTTATATAATTCAACAGGAAAATTAAAGATAAAAGGCTTTTTGTCCCTCACCTTCCACACTATAATTTAAGTTCTACTTTTAAGCCCAAATTATTTCACATAGTTATTCAATTGTTTAAAGGCCTGCAGTAAAGCTCTGCTACAGCAAACTGGATTTCCAAAGCAGGTTTGCCAAGGGTCACATCACACCATAGCCCTTAAAGGCGAGAAGGAATTTGCTGCTTTAACAAACGTAAAAATGCCAGATATTTGTACTGTCCTATGAGGTTTCTGCAAACGGGAACATGTGGCTGCAACATGGCTTCATTTTCCTTACACGATGGTACTAGTTAAGCTACTAGAATGCTTCTTGTTAGTAAGGCTAGGCAATCTCTCTCCATCTCAGTTGCTTCCTTCTTGTTCAGAAAATAAAGACCATCCCTGCTTGGTTAATAGAGGGTGGGTTTGGGATTTTAATTCTGGTCAAACCCTTGTGAGAGCCTCCATTTTCTGTGGCAAAGCAGGTGACTGAACAAATTCCAAAGCCAGATTGTATTTTCACACAACTTTGTTCTGACTTTTGCTCTATCGGGATTGATGTGTGAGTTAGTTCTAGGTCACAAATTAGGATAACATCTACAATTAAGCATCAATTCTGAAAAACAGAAATGTGTCAGCTGTGCAGATTCTTCTTGCAATGCTGTTGGCAGGCCAGCTGTTACTTGACGGAATACACTGGTTAGGAGCTCTATCCTAATTCCTGAAATTCAGTACTCTCGTAGGAAAATATTCTTCCTTTAGTTACTTTTTTGTAAAGAAGACAAAATATTTAATTGTAAGTGGTCATAGGAATTTTTCTGGTTTCTCCCTCATGATTCACTTGAATTTATACAATAGTTGCTTCTGTCAACTCAGCGACAATGCCATCATCGCTTTCAAATGAGATCACCCTGTAGATCGATGGGCTATGCCTTCAAGTTGCAGATGCACAAAGGAGGCTGAGGACAATGGTGAAAACTGTAGTTACTGAACCATACTCAAAGACATCAACGGACAATCACTGCTCATTTCTGAATAAGGGCTGCAGTGCACTGTAGTTTCACAACACATATCCTGCCAACTCTGCAATGTGGTAGGCGAAGTCTCTCGCCTATGATATTGGACAAGTCCTTCCAGGACAGCCACATTTGGATGCTATTGTATGTTACAGGCAGAACAGCATGGATCATCTTTGTCAGGCTGAGCAGCATAGTTCATCTGCCTCACGATTTCTGCAAAGAGTTCGTCCACCATTGTTTTACTCTTAGCAGAAGTCTCCATAAAGGGACAGCCCCACTCTTCGGCAAGGGCTCGGCCTTCATTAGAGGATACTTCTCTCTCACTCTCCAGGTCCACTTTGTTTCCAACCAAGATGACTGGCACTTTCTCATACCTGTGAAAGGCAAAACAAAACACATATATTGTAGCACTTAGCTCAAAGTTAGATAGGTATCTTTTTCATTATAAACAGTCTCTTTAGTTCCATGAAAAATTATTTGAACTTGATACCTACCTAAGTTGTTTTGAAACTACTCTCAGAATGGATGACAAATAGGTTTTTCAAAATGACATTTTTAATTATATGCTTTTTTTGGTGGGGGGTAATGGGGATCAAACTCAGGACCTTGTGCTTGTGAGGCAGGCACAGTGCCACTGAGCTAAATCCCCAGCCCCTAGTTATATGCTCTTTAAGGTGTTCCCAGCAGCTTGAACCACCCGTGAGATCTCCATGACTATCCTGTTGGGTGGCTTGTACCACTAAATGGGACTATCCTATGCTGCCTCTTGAGACAGTCATGCAGATACCACCAGTGGTACAGAGCCACTGGCAGCCAGACATACAAATTACAGCCCTGTCATGAGCATGTTAAAATAAATTTACCTGTCTAGATATACTAGGAAAATTATTCTCAGAATCTCAGACTAACTCTTCTTACATTAAATGCTTCTGAAATACTCAAAATTTCACAGTTGATCATGTAATAACTTCCTCTACTAGTAAACAACTCATATATGTCAACATTTTACAAACATCCAAACCAATGATGTTAAAATAGTTCCTAAGAAAAAAATACCTCATAGAAATCAGGATGGAAAACATCAAGTACAACTATATCCCATTCCTTTAAAATTATATCCTGTTGCTTAAAATTGTTATAGATTAGCCAGTTGAAGGAAATAATTATGGTCCTTTTCATTCTGAAATTGATTAAACTTGTTTAATCTGTCTTTTCTTTGTTAAATAGACTACGGATTCTGGTAACCATGTTTGGACAATGTTAAATGATAAAGCTGAGTGTGAAAAAAAAAAAAAGAACAAAGAAAAAGATATAAATCATTTTGCTACTTAGGGGTGATTCTCTCTTCTCAGAATGGTTGTTCCAAGTAGCACAGGACATAACAAATTTCATGGTGTGAAAAATGGTGCTTGCCTGCATATTTACTTACTGTGCTTATCATAGAAATATAGTTATTTAATTACTTTACTTAAAAGTTATCTCAAAAGTTTTTGTCCTTTTTGTAATTTTAGTATAAATTGTGTGTGTTCCTGTAAGTAGAATGTATCTGATTTATAGAGGAAGTAAACAGCAAAACTGCACACAAATGATAACAAATGCAACAGGACACAGCTAGCTAGAAGAGGAAACACCACATAGTCAAGACTTGACTGAGGCAGGATCCACAGACTTTTTTATCATGCAGGAAGCTGAGCAATAGATAGTAATCATTTGCTACAATACCTGCCCAATTCCATCATCCTGCCAAAATGGTTCTCTACCCACCCTAACCTGTAAAGCCAATCATTATTCCCAGGCGTTTCACTTTGGGGATGGTAGGGCACTAGATCCAATTAAGAACAGCCTCAGTAAGAGGGCATACTCTAGGCAGTGTGCCATTCAGCAATTTGAAATACAATTTACAATGAATGGGAATAACAACATCAAGGGTAAATCTAGGTTGGCTATTACCATTTTGCAGGAAATGATTTAGACAACACTATTTATATCAAAGGATGTTGTATGAATTTCCAGCATACCAACTAACTTATGATCCCTAGTCTTAGATCATGCTGACAGCTCTGAATTTATGACACAAGGACTTTTCACGCTTTTTTTAGACTCTTACATACAAACAGTTGGGTGTGCCCATGACTGTCTTGTGGGAGAACAAACCCAATGAAAATGAAGCTGCACCAGAGGACACCACTACCAGCTCTCTTGATTTGTGTACAGAGAAGCCTGGCAGGAATCAGCCACTGCCAGCCGTGTCAGGAAGAAGTCAGTTTCTATTCTGCTAATCTTGTAAAGATACAACTGATTTCCTCTCCCTAATGAGAAGATATACATCAGTATGCTTCAAAATGCTTTGCTTGTCACTGAAGAAACTTAAAAACAAGTCAAATTCAACACTTGAAATTAGTAATACTTAATAAAAAGTGATACCAGTTTTATTAGCTCTGAGATATTCTAAGAAATATTTTTGAGTTTAAATATAATATTATAAAATGTTCAACATCACTGGTCATTTCAGAGATGCAGATGAAAACAACACTGAGATTCCACCTCACCCCACAAAGAATGGCTGCTATCAAGAAATCAACCAATAACAAATGCTGGCAGGGCTGTGGGGAGAAAGAAACCCTTCTCCATTGTTGGTGGGAGTGCAGACTGGTGCAACCACTATGGAAATCAATATGGAGACACCTCAAAGAACTAGGATAAGAGGTCCCATCTGACCCAGCTGTCCCTCTGCTGGGTGTCTTCCCAAAAGAATTAAAATCATACCACACTGATACATGCACACCCATGTTTACAGCGGCACAGTTTTTAATAGCTAAAATTTGGAAACAGCCCAATTGCCTATCAACTGGAGACTGGATAAAGAAGATGTGGTTTTTCTATAAAATGGAGTATTACTTGGCCACAAAGAATGAGAAACTAGAGTTATTTATAGGAAAATGGATGCAAATTGAGGCCATACTCTTAAGTGAAATAAATAGGACACACATATAAACACTGAATAGTTTCTCTGGTGTGAAAAACAAAGTGTAAATAAGGTACAAATTGTATAATTATAATGTGAAATAGGAAGGAAAAGGCTAAAGGAATAGGGGAAGTGGGAAGGGTAGGGGAAAGGACAGGAGGGAAAAGAAAAAATATGAGAAAAGGAAAAAAATGGAAACAAAGTCTTTGTAAATAGGGGAGGGTGGAGGGGGTGAAGGGAGGGCAGGGACAAGGGGAAAAAATGAGAACCAAGATCTGTCATGTAAAGGTACAAGATCCCAATGATGAAAGCAAATGTACTGTATATGTAAAATGTACCAATAAACTCAATGAAAAAATATTATCATAGTTTATACTTGAATATGTGGATTTTAAAAAACTTGCAAATATATGAAAGTGTTAATGGTTCTGTGATTTACTGTTTAAATCAAGAGTTTGAATAAATTTTACCCAACAGTCTGATTCTCAAAAGGGCAGCCAGGACATTGTAAACATAGGCCTATGTGTAAGAGCATTTAAAAACTGGTAATAACATTTAATAATGTAGATGAAAATTCAGTTATCAGAGAACCTGTCCATCTTTGAGTTGACAGAAATCTTTTCTAAAAACAAGATGCTAAAGAAATAGAGATTAATATCACAAAAGACAAAAAACTAGATAAATTCTTTTAGAAAAAAATGTACATTTCAAACTACTAGATGGTACTAAATTTTGTCCTTCAGTTAACATTAAAATTTGGGACAGTAGAAAATATTTCAAAGTAGGATTCAGAATCCTGTTGATGAAAGACTGCAAATCATTTCCTCTGAATCTCTGTATTTCATTTGTCAGTGCAAAAGGAATGAGAATGTCTGTTCCCATTTAACACACAAGGTTGCAGCAAAGGTCAAATTAGACAATTATGAAAAAAACAAGTACTAGATAAATACAAAGTGGTATTTCTTTTTCTTTCTCCAGCCCACTGATGTGAAAGCACAGCTTGAGAAATGAAGTATTAGGGACCAGAGACATTAATCAGGGAAAGTAAGGTGCTCCTGAAGAAGCACACAGAAAGTCAGAAAACTGCTATTGGGTAGAAACAAGCAAAGGAAGCAACTTGACCCTGGCAATCCCTTCTCTACCCCATGTGAGCATCATGGTAATAAGGAAAAGAAACACAGGAAAGCGTTTGCACAACACTAAGGAATTAAGAAGGAAATACTGATACTTGCGGGAGAAAGAATCTCCAAAGGTTCTGTGTTGGGATGACTGGATAGGGTCCTGTACGTAGAGGTACAACTGGGAGCAACTTGGTTCCTCCTTAAGAAAGACGGGAGGAAGACAAGGGGAAGAGATAAAGCCATCTCAGAACTTCTCTAGCTAGTTCTCTAGCTAGTGACTTTAGATTAACTTCGTCTCTAACAAGCCTCAAATGAACAGTGCCTCTGCTTCTTGGTGTGGACTAGTTTCAAAAGTGCTCATAAACTCTGAAGTTAAAAATCACAATAGACATGGCGAGTCACATCCACAATTAACATCCATCTCTTATCAGGTTAGTGCCTCAGCCCTAGGCACTCCTCTGAGAACAACATCCACCAAGCTGATCTTTAAAAGTGGTATGGAAGTGCATGACAGCAGTGGAGCCAAAAGGTAGGAGACCTCACGAGACCTTGTGGAACCAAAGAACCGAGCAGCAGACTGTCAATTCCACTAGCAGAGTGGCTTCTGATATGTGCTCTGATTCACCAACAGGACTCAAAGATGCACTGAGGACCTAAGCTGCTCCATTTTACAGCAGTCTCCTTCAAACACTAATACTTGGGATGTTTCTAACTACGTGAATACTGAAGTCTACTTTGAAAACCTCGACTGAATCATATCAACATCCATTCGGTCCCTGTATTTGCTTGGATCCTACTGTATGCTAGATATTACTTCCTCACTGACCAATCATAAAGGACAAAACAAAGATCTCTGCCCTCACAATGACTACAGTTTAGTACAGCATGCAGATACCAGTGATAAACACAGTAAGTAAATTACAGGCTTACAGTCTGGAGATGTAGCTCAGTGGTAGAGTGCTTGTCAAGCATGCACAAGGCCCTGGGTTCTATGCCCAGCACTGTCCCCTCCTTGCCCCCACAAAAGTAGGTTTACTAGAAGGCAAAATGAAAATGAAAAGTATGTCAGGGACGAGTATGGAGGCACAGGTACAGTGCTAAGATGATCACAGGCCTCACTGGGAAAGTGTGTCAAGGAGGTACCAGGAAAAGCACAGCAAACGGGACATAGGCTGGATAGTAGCACTCCACTGGTGTAGCAAATGTGTTCATTTGAAGTTAAATGCAACTGAGGCAGTCGGGGGCCAAAAGTGGCCGCAGGAGACAAAGAATTTATGGCAGGGCCCGC